CACTACCGGCAACATTTCTATAAGAAGAGGCATATTTCAAGGTGACACATTATCCCCGTTACTGTTTTGCCTGGCGCTAAACCCAATCAGTTTCGAGCTCAACCGATTGCCTTTGGGATACAGAGTCAGCCGCAGAGACGCCAAGTTGACTATTAATCACTCTTGGTACATGAACGACATTAAACTCTATGGGAAAACTACAAAGGATGTGACTACCCTCGTGTCTACCGTGTGTGGCGTTGGTGATGACATCGGCATGAATATCAACCCGGCCAAGTGTGCCGTGCTGCAAGTCAGGAAAGGAAAACCAGATGAAGGATGCTCTATCCAGGTTGGCGATGAGACCATTGCAGAGCCACTACGACTCAATGAAACATACAAGTACCTTGGAGTAGTGCAAGCAGCCATGATATCATACCCGCAGCTCCAGACAGAACTCACTGCAGAATACAAAAAGAGATTGTATTTGCTTCTTAACAGTGGATTGAATGCGTGAAACATGATCAAGGCCATCAATACATATGCTCTGCCGGTTATGACATAATTGTTATGGAATCGTAAATTGGACTGAGGCTGAAATAAAGACCACAGATTGAGCGACAAGATCAGCCTTGACTGTGTCTGGATTTCACCACCCCAAAGCCGCAGAGCGAAAATCCTTAACACTTTCCACTATGCCGCTGCATGGGAGATATTGGAGCCGCTTGGAGGAAAATCGCCTCGATAAGGAGCTTACCTTGGTGTGGCTGAAATCAAGAACACTGAAACCTTCAACTAAGGGCATGATTATGGCAGCACAAGACCAATCCCTCAAAACGAAAAATTACCAATACGCCATACGTCAGGCGAAATAGCACGTCATAGTACATTTGAGATCAGCGGGTAGAAGATGACGACGTCCACTAATTTAGTATCTGTGCACACGAATCTGCTGTGTTTGTGACTCTGTGTGTCAACTATGATATCATCGTCTGTGGTTCCATGCCTAGCATGTACGTCTGAACCACCCTGCAAAGTTTGAATGACGTAGGTTGAGCGATCGCTCCGCGAAACATACTTTTTGAAATTCTCTTCATAGTATATCTTCCACCATTGAAATTTCGAATTTCTTCAGAAAAAGTGCTGAGAGGGGTGGCTTGCAACCTCGATATGGCTTGTTCCAGGCATGCTTTGGAGCCATCTTCTGTTGAAGTAGTGGCGGGGATCTGCCCTGCAACTGCTACAAGAAAAAATGATTCGATCTGAGAAAGGGTGAGACCGCGAATCTTGTTTGAATATTGAGTATTTCAAGCTTTTTCACGACGAAGATGGAGTTCTTTTTGGAGATGGACGTCGCGGCAAAGGACACGGTGTCCGACTTCTGGCATTTGGTGAAGCCAGGGATCATTTGTCCAGTCAGGTCGGCAGCCTAACCGTCGGTAAGCTTGTGTTTGGATCCCGTTCTGCTCGATGTGGTAGATCACAAACAATAATTTGATATCGCACAAATTGATCTCAGCATCTCAGTGTACGGTATTTTATATTCAGAAAATCCAAAAGTGTCTCTGTGTGGCCGTCCTATGCCACGAGAAACTCCAATCAGGCTCCTATGTCCTCTGCCTTCATGATTGAATGTCCACTTCGTTTGAACAACGAACACAACAATCGAGGACGGCTTTGCAATGAAAAATCCAGCTATACTGGAGCTGAAAAAAAAGAAGAAAAAAACGTGCTCAGGATGAGACTCGAGTACACGCATACTCTCCCAGCAGGTGAAACGCAATTTTTTTGTGAAAAATGCATGTCGCCGACTGACCAGGAATTTCGCCTGACGATGAAGTCAATTGCTCAAACTGATGCCAATTGCCGGCTTTGCAAGGGCAGCTTAGAAACAATTGACCACATTGTCAGCCCTGCCCAGTTCTTGTTCGGACCAGTCACATCGAACGTCATAACCGGATAGTAAAGTATGTGCACTTCGAAATGTGTAGAGCACGAGATCTACCTACTGGTGATTCACGATTCGACCACCAGCTCAAGGCATTGGTCAAAAGTGATCGGTATCGGCTCTATGGGAGTATTCGGTCCCAACTGACCTGCAACTATCAGCAAACAGGCCCGATCTGCTCCTTGTTGATGACAAGGAGCGCATCGCATACATTAAAGACATCAGTGTTCCTGGTGAGAACAACATCAATAAGAAAATGGCTGAAAAGCGCTCAAAATGTTATGGCTTTAAGCGGGAGATTTCCATAATTTGGTCCCTCACCCAGGTTGACTTGGTCCCTGTTGTTCTCGGTGCCCTGGGAGGCTTGGTGGGGGAGACTCCTCAATGCCTCCGGACTGTGCAGGGAGGAGACCTGGCTATTGTGCAACAGGAGGCTATCCAAGTTTCGGTTAAAATACTAAGAACTGTCCTTAACATGTAGATGCACATCTGCTGCGTTTTCATGTTCAATAGCCAAGAGACTTGAAAAATGACTGATAAAGATATTTCCTTTGTAATCCTCATAACAACATCAATGTCCTTATCATTTGTTCAATACCTGTCTTTGTACAATACCTGTCGTTGCAAATTCTTTATTATTGTTTTGATGTTGGAGTTTGGATTGAGTTTCTTTCCTTTCTTCCTCTTCCTTCCCCTATTTCTTGTCCCTTTGGTTTTGGCTTTTTTATTTTTTTCACTTTCTTTTTGCTGTCCCACCCATGGAAATATTTCCCGGTGGGTCTGGCTTATTGCCTTCGAAAGAAGTGAATAAAGGAGACATAATAAAGATAAAGATATTTCCTTTGTACTCCCTATAACAACATCAACGTCCTTATCATTTTGTACAATACCTGTCTTTGTACAATACCTGTCGTTGCAAATTCTTTATTATTGTTTTGATGTTGGAGTTTGGATTGAGTTTCTTTCCTTTCTTCCTCTTCCTTCCCCTATTTCTTGTCCCTTTGGTTTTGGCTTTTTTATTTTGTTCACTTTCTTTTTGCTATCCCACCCATGGAAATATTTCCCGGTGGGTCTGGCTTATCGCCTTCGAAAGAAGTGAATAAAGGAGACATGATAATACAGGTCCTCCCTCGTTAATACATAATCTCTGGGACCTGACAAATGTTATGTATTAACGGGGTTAATACACTTTTTTCACCTTTTCTGAGCGTTTCTGGTTGCTGTGACTAAGGAGCGAGATATTTTTGATTCCCTCGTTATAATATAAAAATTGTGTTATAACGGAATTCACGGAAATCATGTTGAAAAGAGTTTCAATGGTGAAATAGATCTACTTCAGAAGTATGTGCGTGTGCTGGATAAGAGGTTAGTAGTGTACACATGGTACAGGACAGCTGTTGTACATGACATGTACATTGTATTTCACTCGAGAACAACAATAGAGCTTCGTCGGTTTGTGTTGTGCGTTCTGATTTTTGGGTCCACAAGAAGAAACTGGAACATGACGTGCCTCCTCTGAGAGGCCAGCAGACCAACAAATTATGTACTATCGAGGTATGTGTCATGCGGGAACAGAGGAATTGTTATGTACTAACGGGGTTTATGTACTAACGGATTATGTACTAACCGACAAAATTTGTATGGACGCGACCACATTTCATCCGGTACTTGAGGATTCTTATGTACTAGCGGGGTTTATGTGTTAACCGGACTCGTATTAACGGGGGACGACCTGTAATAATAATAATAAGATCAAGAATGTTTACACTGAGCATGCAACAAGCTGGAGACTGAGCATACAGCTAGCCTCGGCATGTATCAGAACTTCAGGATTACTAGTACTCAAGACAGGGGAGTGGTTGCTGTTCACGCTACAGTAAGACAGTACGCGCGCAACACACCCTTGAACTGGAGGGGGGGGCATGATATTTCTCGCACTAGGTAGAAGACTGTTCCAAACACGTGCAGCAGAAAGAGACACGGGATGAGTTCTGGCTGGAATGCAGGCAACGGTAGACCAGCGAGCACATTGTCTCACGCAAGAGCTGGTGTACAGGAAGCAGGTTGTGTTCCGCATACACAGGAGTCATACGGGTACGGGAGCTCAGGTTGTTCACGGCTCGCAGGGCTAGGTTGCATAGGCGTTGAAGTCTCTCCTCGTTAGCCTTGGAGAGAGAGCTAAAGAAAGCTGAGCATTCATAGCGGATCCTGGACTCTTCCATGGACGTGTAGGCCATTCGCTTCGACTGCAGAGAGAGAGAGACACACTTCCGATTTCTCCACTGCGCTCCTATAACTTGTCGAGACGTTTTACAGATATGCATAACGTGGCTATTGCAAGTCAGGCGATCGTCTACAATCAAGCCTAGGTCCTTGGTCTGCGACACAACAGGGAGCACAGCGCCATCGCATATCACAGGCGGCAAGGGATCAAGGGGGCTCCGAGGAGCAATGTGCAACACACAGGTCTTGGTGGTGTTGAGGCTCAAACCGCGTCCATTGAGCCAGATGGCGAAACACGTACATGCGACACTAAGCTTAGAGGTGATGTCTGCACGGCTGGATGATGATGTATGTAAGGTGATATCATGGGCGAATTCTTGGTGGCAAATACTAGGCGGTACATGAAAGTCGATGGAACTGATGTAAACAGAAAATAGAAACGGGCCGAGAACGCCACCTTGCGGTAAACCACTTGAACAGTCCGAGTAGCATGACGATGAAGAACCAACTTTAGAGAGTTATTTCCGACCGAACAAATAGCTTGCAAACCAGGCCAGAGCAGTGCCACGTACACCCTTTCCGTGAAGATCATCTAGCAGCGTTTGGTGGTGAACCTTATCAAACGCTTTTGACATATCGACACACACAATACCAGGGTGTAGTCGTCATCCCGGCAGAGACCGTTCAACATTTTTTTCAGACTTTGAACCTCACACTTTGTGTGAATCTACACCGGCGGGTGGGACGCAGACCTCACTGGAAACCACACACTTCATGTACAAACTAACACACTATATATTCTTCCAGGAAGTGATGTACATCTTATCCAAATTCTACTTTGTTCTCCCAGATATTTGGGTGATAATAAATTTGTCCAACTACAAGCCGGGCTGTTCGACACCACACCCGGTTTACGACACTTGTAAGTCATGGTGTGTATGTTTCGGGAAAGAAATTTTTGCGTAGTTCGGTTGTTTTGAGATGTGCCAAATAGGATTTCGGGATATTGCATCAGCCTAAGCTCACGTGATAATAGATGCGGAAGACTTCAGCACAGTAACGACTGCAGACTTCTGGCCTTCCAAGGTCACAGTTCAGCCCTGGAGTTTCAGCTCTGATGCCCTTCAACATTGATCCTGAACTATCATGCTAAGAACCAACATACACAATGATTCAGCAACATCGACTTGATCCTGACGCCCCTGCATTCACTCCAAGCTTCCAATGAGTTACCTCTTCCCCTCCCGTCCACTGTAACCCCTGCGGCGCTCAACACCCTTGCCCCGCTTTTCCTTCATTCTATCCATGTTATACTCACCGACTTACAATCTGTGTCCTTAAAGGGGCACTCCAGTAATTTTTTCGGTGGTATGGTCTCTTCATGGGGGCCTTATATGACCCCCAAAGAATGGGGAATCGTGAAAACTAGACCTAAAAAGTCGATATATGGCCCAGTATCAGCGAGAATCGACCTTCGGGTGAAAATCATTTTTTTCAGAATAAGGCATTTTCTGCAGCGGCAAAAAACTCTTGCTTCACGCTCTGCACATTCAAACAAAAAATTAGTTCATCGCAACAATGAATGCTTTTGATCGTCCCAGTAGCAGGAGAGTTCGCTCACGATGGCCAGCTAGCTGCCGTCCGGCTCCGCCAGAAGTCATTGCATTTCCTAGGCAGGAATCGTCGCGCCTGATAGAGAACGACGACAGTTTCCAGAAGATGTTTTTGTCGACGCGCAATTCCTATTTAGCAACGAGAATTTCAACTTGATATAGGCGCTCCGCCAAAGGAGCTCTCTGCTGGCAAAAGTACTTTCTGACATCTGAAAATCCTTGTAGGGCCCTTCTGAATTTAGTACAGCTCCGCTCAGGAGAAATACTCAACGAGGAGAAACTAGTCTAGTGAGGCGACAGCAACAGAGGTAGACGAACTGAAACGCCCTGGATCAACTCGAGTCAGGACGAAAGAGCGCTGCCGCTAGTGACATGATCTGAATTATTTTCCCAGGCTCCCACACTGGACTCCGTGGTGAACACCAAACCCCTTGGACGGGGCAAGAGCTGAACATTGATTGATGAGCTACGAACTCTCTGCGCTCAGTGCTGGAATCATGGCGCACTGACGCGCATGCAGCCAGTTCCCACAGAGCTCATATTTCACAGAGGTGCAGCAGTGATGGACTACCTCTAAATCGTGTATGACTATGAGATGAAGTGTGGGGTGTTACTGTTAGAATGTTGTGCCTGTGTGGTATTCCCTGTGGGGTGCACAGACTGGGACTCCAGGTGTAGTTGTAGCCACCCTCCCTCCTGTTCTGCACTTCTGTGGATTTTCAGCAGACTTGCGATGGCGTTCAAACAGTTTTCATTGGTATGCAGTGATTAGGATCAAGACCATCCATGCTCTATGCCAGAGGTTGCCCAAGAGTTGTTTTACAATAAAAATTGGATGGATGATATATTACAATGTCTATTTTTTATTTATTTCACTGTAACACATAGTATTCCGATGTGGAAAACACTGTGATAAATTGTTCTATTTCCTGATATGTGCCTATGCTTGTTTGAGAAGCTTCTGGGTCATCAATATGGCTTTGTTCGGTCTAATACTTTGCCATGTGATCATTCGATACCTATAGATGACAACAGCAGAAAAAAGTCATTTTGTGAAAAATCACCCTAAGGTCCATTTCCGCAGATACTGGGCCATATGATATATGAAGGGCCAAGTTTGTCTCCTCTTTTGATGGTTTTGATGACGTCACGTGTGATTAGTATTAAAATTCTCTGCATTTGAAGATCTTAGTTGTTTGAATTTTCTGGTGATGAAGAACGATGTTTGGTCAACATTCCCAAGCTTCACAACTGCGGCCATACTCTAACCCTTTCCATGCCAGCATGTTTTCATGTGTTGGCCACGCATTGTTCAGGCGCTGAGCTCAACTGTTCAAAGCTGCACGCGCACCTCAGAACGAAATTTATTGCTATTTCACTGTACCTTGATGGATTTTCACGATCCATGGCTTGTTGGAAAGATCTGGACAACAGGAAGCCATTTCAGGGATTCACAGCGCGACAGGCATACCAGGGCCACTTCCATCTCCTCTCAAAGTCCCCCTATCATGCCTCAAAATAACAAAACGACTGCCTCTCATGTTTTCTTTCGTCTTCTTGCTCATTGTGAACTGATTTTCACGATTCAAACTGCGTTGGAAAGCTGAGATTCAAGCGCGTTTTTTGCAGCTGACTGCGCACGCGCTGTGTCTAGGGGAAATCCCCTAGCCCGCACGAAGTCGCGAACAATCGATCGGCAGAAAATGAAATTTGCGCATTCTGGCCATTCAATTTATCGCCGCTCGGTCATACCTTATCGTATCGCGAAGAACTTTATATCCCTGGAAAGCTGAGCTCAAGACCTTTCCAGCGGTGTCTCAACCTTAGCAGTCCGAGATATTTTGACGGAATTACAACAGTTTGTACACTCGTCTATAGCGCGCGATACACATAACTGTACAGTGTACATTGAACAGTCCAGGCAGAACGCGTAAACGCGTCCGTGGCCAATCGGCTCATACTAAAAAAACGCGTATACGCGTCCATGGCATGGAAAGGGCTAAGGAACCTGAAGGACCCCTCAGGTTTGTTTGTTTGTTTAGGCCACACCAAGTTTTTTCATTGTTTCTCGTCACCGCGCGCGTACCTTTCTTGAGGATTGGACCAAAAAAAAAAATCTCGCGTCCCGGTAAACACGCATAAAAAGGCGTTGTAAAAGTACGCGCGGCGTCAAATCTGGAGTGCAGTGCTAGTGCACGAACCGAAGGACAACTTTTGCACCGTGTATGTACGCATACCGGTAGTTCAAGTACCACACCACCACAGCGCGCACTTGGCTGTTCTTTTATGTACCCCTTGTATAATAACTTTGGTTTGCTTTCTTTCCTATTTAAATAACATGCAACACTGGACTTCCTCACCAGAGGCCGGTGCAGGAGCCTGGTTTTCTGGCTGTATGTTGCAATTGACTGTCACGCGTGGTGTATAGTCTGATTTTAGGTCATAAATTGGGCCTTTGTAGTGTAAATAGCAGTTTTTGTTTTTCAAACCCTATTTTGTTTTTTTTCCGCCCGCCCGCGTTCCTTTTCAGATTTTCAGGTGACGAGAAACAATGAAATAACTTGGTGTGGCCTTAGCTGTATTTTACTTCACTTCAAAAGCACAGGCAAAATCTGTCTTCTCACTGGGCGTATTGCCACAGTTCTCGCAAAATGATGAAGGTGGTGATATAAGAAAAGGAGGAAGAGGAAAATACAATCATGAACAAGGCACAAAGAGAAGACGGAAACAAATCAATGAGGGAGTACTACAAGTAACGAATTGGAATTTGATGAATTTTTTCTTGAAAATAATGCAACGAAAGCAAATGTTCCAGGGTTGAGGGAATGTTGACAGTTATGCGTCTTTGAGATCTTAGGAGAGGGTAAGAGAGTTTAAGATATCGTTTGTAGTTGCTTTCTTCACACTTAGGTGCAGGTAGGTCGATTTTGACCTATGCTGACAGTGCATACTAAAATCGAACACAGAGCCAGTCTCGTACATCGCAGGTGCCTGATTTTTTGTACAGAGACCCTTCAGTAGCTGGCCTGTAGATAGCAATAGGGAAAGTAGGGGTTGCATTTGAAAAAGTCGAGTCGTGATCAACGACGATCGCGCAGATCAGCGGAAGTCAATCGAGCGTGGCAGCCTACGCACACGTCTCGCAACATGAACAAAACGTTGCTGTTTCGCTTCGTTTTTGACTGGTACAGTTCATGCCTACAACAGCTGACCTCCGTCATGGATGCTGCAGGAGCGCTTGAGTTGTTTGAAGAGCTGGAGGCCGATGATGCCCCTGTAGAAGAAGAATCAGAAGACGAGGATGGTGAAAAATCTGACGCTCTTTTCTCTGACGGAAACCTGCCGTCATCAGATGAGGAAGACCGACTCAACGATGATTTGGTTTTCGGTGAATTTCTTGAGAACGGCAGCTCTTCAGATGAGGACAAAATTTCCCACGATGAGCTTCAAGAAGCTGTAGGGCAAGGGCAAGCGCAGCCAGTTCGTGGACGTGCTCCACTCGTGCTGCACGGAGGAATTGCTCGCGGCGCTGGTCGAGCTCAGCCAGCTGATGGAACAGCTGATCGTGGCGTGCATGGCGCGTGTGGGGGAGGCAGTGGCGGAGGCCGTGGACGAGGTAGTGGATTCGGCGTGCTGAGTGGTGTTGGCGACCAATATGTGCTTGGACCAGCGCAGTACCTTGACCCTATTGTAAATTTTTCTGACTTGAAAATTCAAAAAAAAAAATTCTGTCTTGCCATTCAGAATACATACTTTTGTCGCTACATCATCGAAACGGTTGCGGAGATATAGGCTTTCCAAAAAATTGAGCCAAAACTACGAAATATCTAAAATTCAGTCAGGCACAAAAGGGTTAAATGCAGAAGGAATTGTGATGGAGCGGACATCAGGCGGCAGGCAGTTCCAGTACACACTACCAATGAACTGAACAGTGGATCGACCGGAAGGACCCGGCAAAAACGGGACACAAAGCAGACGTGAAGCCTGACCACGCGTGGCACGACCATTGACTAAATCAAAGAAAGTGCTGAAAAGACTACTGATCATTTCAGCACCAAGACATCTGTGAACAAAAAATAAAAATGTTTGCTGATATATCTGAGTAAGAGTAAGAAGATCAAGTCGACAGAGAAGAGGGGATGATGGGGTGGTAGAAGGCACCTGGAAAACGGCGCGAATTCCGGATTTGAAAATCTTGACCAAGCGATCCAAAAACTGCACTGTGAGGCAAGGATAGAAAGCTGTAGACGCATAGCAGGGATGGCTGCTGATCATGCTAATGAACCACGACCGTCTGGCACGACCATGGCGCCAGAGCTGACCAATGACCACCCTAAGGTACTTGGCAGTAGGGATAACCTTGCGTGCGTCCTGACCACAGAATACATCAGGAATGGCAGCTTTCTGTCCACGGGGCTGGATGACCATGACTTGCGTCTTCTTCGCATTGAGCAACAGCCTAATTTCAGCAAGCCAACGTGATACAGAAGTGGCAGCTGCACTAAGCTGTCGGCACACAGTGTTGAGATCGCTGTCGGAGAACTCTAATAATTATGATGTCATCCGCAAACTCTTGGTGGATGACTTGTTCAGGCAGGATGGCATCTAAGTGGCGTGTGTATAGAACAAACAGTAAGGGACCAAGTACACTGCCCTGTGGCACACCACGGGAACAATGCACTGACGAGGAGACTGAGTTTGCAATTCGAACTTGTGGACTTCTTTCAGTCAGATAGCTACAAAACCATTGTAGAGCACTAGATGAGATACCAAGGGAGTGCAACTCAGAGACGAGTCGTTCATGCTGCACCCGATCAAAGGCTTTACTCATATCTACCATGACGATGCCCGTGAAGCGGCGATGTGAGCGTGCAAGCACCCACCTTTTGCGGCAAGCACAAGTGCATCCTCTGTCGAGTGACACTTCCGATACACAAGCTGAGTCTTTGGATAAAGTTCATGCGCTGTGAGATATTTCACGAGCTGCTTTTTCACAAAGTGTTCGAGAATATGAGATATAATCGGTAATAAGGATACTGGGCGGTAGTTAACTGGCACTGTGGGGTCTCCTGACTTATACAAAGGACTAATAAACGATCGCTTGAAAATCAGCTTTCACAACACTCACCGGCACCAGTTCAAATTGCAGAAAGCTAGACGCTGGCATCGGTCCACTTGGTGGTGTTAGCGGGGATGGTCGGTCTGGGTCGCGCACAACATCCCCAAAGGTTTTGGTCAGGTCCTCGATACCGGCTTGAGGTTCTTGATGCTGCTTAGCACGGCCTGTGACGATGTTCATAACTGACCACAACTTTCTCTGATCACGAGTTGCACACTGATTCATGAAGTAGGCATTTCGTAGACGGCGATCTAGTTTCCTTGCAGTAGAGAGGGCCTGACGGTGGAGCTCACGCAGATCCGCATTGCCTTTGTCGCTCATCAACCGGCGATGGAACTGGTTTCGCTCACGAACCGCGGCAACTAGCTCCGGTGTAAGCCAGGGGCAAGGACGTTTCTCCTGTTGGCGCCGATGAATCAATGGTGCATGCACATCCAGGGTAGATTATGATAGAGGTGGTAAGACTCTGCACAGCATTTTCAAGATTTCCGGTAAAGGTACAAGTCGCTAGATGATGGTTCAAGTCCTCATTGAATGTGTTCCAATTTATCCGATGGAGTCGCCTACGTTGGCGTTTGGCGGCTGGGTGTCCAGAATATGCCTTTCCCATGCCAAAGCCAGGCATATGGGCCAGGATGGCAAAATGATCGCTCATATCAACATAGACAGTGCGCAATACACCCTCTATTGGAACGTTAGATAAGAATAGGTCGATAACAGATGCCGAAGAGGACGGGACTCTTGTCGGCTGAGACACATGGTTAAACAAGTTGCAGTGTGTGAGTGTGGAGTGCAAGTGATTTGCATGGCTGGCAAGATGGATCGGCATAGTCCACATTGAAGTCTCCGATGAGAACTGTGCGCGACTGTGTTCCCTGCATTGCCTTTTCGATGTTGGCTTGGAATGCATCCCAGTAAGCCACTGACTTATCTGGTGGACGGTATGCACATCCCACCAGGGTACGGTGCTTTTGCTCCATGACCTCAATCCACAAACTTTCCAAATCTGTTTCCAGATCAGCACGTCGTTTGACACGAGTCGTTTCATGACAGTATATGCAAACGCCACCGCCGTGCTGTAGGGCACGATCTTTCCTGAATCGCTTGTAGTGATTTCAAATGTCCATCTGCACGTGTTCCTGGGTCATCAAGGCCAAAGTCCGATGTCTGCGTACGGGGTTCATGAACCGAGTCAACGTCCTCGCACGTGGAGGTGGCTGCTGAAGCTTGTCTTGAGATGTTGGCACATTCGTAGATCGTACGGACTTTGCAGACTCAGCTTTAACTTGTTCACCAGCTTTGAAACTGCTGCATGCGCGGCGTGGCGTGGCTTTCCCTTGCTCTTTGTCTCGTCATGGCCGACTGCTTTCGCTGCTGCCATTGAATACGTTGGTGATCCAGATTCCATAATTACCTCCTTCAGGGAGGAAACTAAGCGGGTGAGGTCGTCGATTTTACTATTTAATCTTTTCTCTCGATCGGCAGCAAGACTACGTTCCATTTCCATTTCTTCGAGGATTTAAAAAAATGGCTTTCACATGTTGAGCAAGACTGACGGACAGAATCTTTCCTCACGGGGTCTGGAACACCAAACTGATCTTCGACTGTGATATCACCACATACACTTGTGTCCATCGTGCTAAGCCTGCCCCGAGGGGCAAAACTGCCAGATTTACTGAAAACAAGCGGAGCCCAAAAATGGCAAACCGCCCCCTGCAGTCGCAAAAAAGAGGTGCCCCTGGTAGAAGCGCAGCCTGGTGAGGGCCAGGAGATTGGAGCGGACGACTTCACTGGTCCGAGTACAAGGATCTCGAAATTCTCTATACGCCGTGAGGCATATGGTCAGAACAGTTTTGTTTAGACAAGCTGACGCAAAGTCGGGGTGATGTGTAACGCGTGTCAAAGGGCTGTCAATGCCAACAGCTGCAGCGCTCTCTCAACAGCGAAGGTAATCGACTGCCCTCTGCATCACCCCACATTTCTGGCAGGACCACCAATCGCTATTTCCTTGTCGACCAGTGAAGTCGTCCGCTCCAATTTCCTGGCCCTCATCAGACTGCGCTTCTACCAAGGGCACCTCAGGAGGTCCTTCAGGTTCCTTAGAGTAAGGTCTCAGTTGTGAAGCTTGGGAATGTTGACCAAACATCATTCTTCATCACAAGAAAATTCAAACAACTAAGATACTCAAATGTAGAGAATTTGAATATTAATCACACGTGACGTCATCAAAACCATCAAAAGAGGAGACAAACTTGGCCCTCCCTGGCTTCATATATCGACTTTTTGGGTCTAGTTTTCGCGATTCCCCATTCTTTGGGGGCCGTATAAGGCCCCCATGAAGAGAACACACCACCGAAATAAGTCCCGGAGTGCCCCGTTTAATGCTTGCTCCATAGTAAACAAGTAGGGCGAACTCGTTCAAATCTGCGAGGGTCACAATCCCAGGGTAATATTCATCACGGACACCTGGCTAACTCCCACACAGGATTTCCAAATGACACTATGAATGCTTCCATCGAAATCGACCTGCTTTAGAAAATCGACAGAACTGTGACCCACGGAGGAGTTCTAGTCGTAGTTCGTGAAGGTCTGTGTACTTCCATTGATCAGCTACTGGCTTTTCGGCAACTGGGCTTGGAAGGTCTCTAGCACTTCAGTTCACACTCGCTGAACATAGGCTTGTCTTACCTTCTGACCTGCCAACACCCCTACTAACAGTAGCCTGTATCTATCGTGCTCATTTCCCGTCGCCGGATGACTTCTCGACTTTTCTGGGCCGCTTTCAAATAGCCCTGCAATCAACTCAAAGGAAGACCGACGCCCTGGTGATATCAGGCGACTTCACCTGAAGGCATTCCGACCTGTGCCCAACTGACCAGACGGATGCACAGGGTCTGAGTCTTGATAACCTCTTCTCTTGCCATCATTTGACCCAATCGGTGACCTTTCCCACCCACCTCCAGTCAGCCGGACTGGGCAGTTGTCTAGACCTTATCGCGAGCACCATCCCTAACCAACTGAACCACATTCAACATCTGGCTCCTCTTGGCGCATCAGACCACGCCTAATGGCTGAGTTCTCCTCCTCAAAGTCTTTCCCGACAGCAGCCAGCAACTTGTCGTAACCCACCATCTACACAACGTAACAATTACCGGAGTTAGTAATTAGTATGACTGTATAGAAGAGTGGTGGGGCCATTTTATCGAGCGAAAATATGTTTTCCTACCCTCTTGGACCTGTCCGAACCTGAACCTTTTAAGTTGGAAGGTTGCTGGCTAGCGCCTTGGAAAAGTGTTCGAGCTAGGTGTCAGGTTGCTGAATGTCTCAGTAGTAGAGTCAGTACTCCTTGTTATTGTTTTTGCCATTTTGTCGCACACGCTCACTGCATGTGATCTGGTCACGTTGGTGGATGGTTTGTCATAACTAGTAACATGTACTTCTCCTCTTTTACCATAATTATTAAAATTGGCTCACTATCCGAGTAAAACTATTTTAAATCATAACTTTTTGTTTGACTGCTATAGAGAATTCACTAATTCGAGGGAAACACACAAACGGGGACTGCCTGAAGAAAAATTGCCTGTCAACACCAGGACTCGAGCCAGGGACAGTCGCATGTAGCCAGCGATGCTGTAACCACTGAGCTATGTTGTGGCCTCAATCCCAGCAGAGACAGTACAACATTTTCTTCAGACTTCGTACCTCACACTTTGTGTGAATCTTCACCGGTGGGTGGGACGCAGACCTCACTGTAACCCACACACTTCATCTACAAATTAACACGCTATAAAGAGTATTAAGAAATTCTTCCAGGAAGTACATCTTATCCAAATTCTACTTTGTTCTCCCAGATTTTTGGAAAAAAATCATTTTGTTCACCTACCTGACAGATGGTTTAAAGCCTTACCCCAATTATTTATCCTGTAAGTCATGGTGTGTATGTATGTCATGATGTGTATGTATGTCATGGTGTGTATGTCATGGTGTGTATGTATGTATGTCATGGTGTGTATGTCATGGTGTGTATGTATGTAAGTCAAGGTGTGTATGTATCGGGAAAAGTTATTTTTGCGCAGTTCTGTTCTTTTGAGATGTGGCAAATGGGATTTTGGGATTTTGCATCAGCCTACACTCACGTGATAATAGATGCAGAAGACTTCAGCACGGTAACGACCGCAGACGTCTGGCCTTCAAAGGTCATAGTTCGGCCCTGGAGGTTCAGCTCTGACACCCTTCAAAGATGATCCTGAACTGTCATGCTAAAAACCAACATACACAATGATGCAGCATTTTTTGTTGCCTAGGTAGTCCATCAGGCTGGTGTCTGTCTCTGCACAAGAGCCAGGCCGGTAGAGCGCACCCAAAACAGTCTTAGTTCCAGAGTGCATTGTGAGGGAAATCCACACGAGCTCATGATCACGGCAATCTATATCGTCGTGGTGGGTAATGGATAGTTCACTCCTAGCCCACACCGCCACACCGCCACCATGGGCATCTCGATCCTTCCTTATAGGCGGTGAGCACCCTGGGATGGTCAACTCATGGGAGGAATTGTCTGAGCAAGAGCTTCGTTTCTCTTACTATTGCATGCTGCAGGGCACCTATCTTGTTGCTCAGGCTGAATGCATTAGTCACTAGCAGTCCCAGAGGTCTGGAATCCATCATTGGGTGACGATTCCAGTCTTGGTTCGTGGTATGGGGAAATGATCAGAGGTCTGCCGGTAGCCTTGCTGCTCCGGTTTACTTTCAAAGTACCACCCCAGGGCAGCAGTATTGTCCCCCCCCACCACCCCCCCCCCCCCTCCCCGATCCCATTTCCTCCCCACCCACCAAGCCCCTCCGTTTCTCTTATTCACTCATTTCTAGTGTGTGTGTGTTTCCTCCATCGTTGTGAACAGTAAGTTCATCACGAGGAGCCGATGCCTGATCACCCCACATCAGACTCCCCGCGGACAGTGTCAGGATTGCGACCGGGTGGTGCCTGCCCTGGCACACCACTCCTGCGGAGCGTGACTGCCTCGAAGGCAGAGCCATGTACGCCGTCGTTCGCTCTTTGCGCGTGCATTGTTCTCCATGTACTGTGTATTTATGGAGCCATGACTCGGGTTGATTTCATGAGTTTCGAATTGCCACTCTAGACTTTGGTCAGCCAAGACCTATCGCCCAAGGCAGTCCGTGCAGTACCTATCGCCCAAGGCAGTCCGTGCAGTAAGATGCCAACCTCTCCCCTAGTGGCACCATGGTGTTAGCTTGTCATCCTGAGATCATTGGTGCACCCGTTGGCTTCCCTAATGGTCAGCTCATCCGCGGGCACCTATTCAAACCCTGCTGCTAACCAGGGCCTGAAGCGGACAAATGAGTTTCTTCAGGTTAACCAGCCCCCCTCCCACCTGGCAAAGTTCAATCACATTACTCCCATGAATGGGTCCCCCAGCAGGGGCCCTTTCTTAGACTGTCCCAGTAGGCCTCACAATTCCTGGTACTTGCATGTACTCCAGGGGATCACCCCTGGAAAGCATAGCACGACCATTTGTCTCCAAACACCACTCCTTTTCGCCAGGACCTGTAGCTCTCTCATTTGCACTCACACTACACTACGTCGCGGACATCATCCGGGAATATCGACTGGGATGGCTTGGCCATGTTGGCCGGATGAACAACGACCGCATGCCGAAGCGAGTTTTGTTTGGGGAGCTCCCTGCAACACGCCCTCGCCATGGTCCACGCAAGCGGTGGCGTGATGTCCTCGTGGATGATCTCCGCTCCATCAGCCCCCCCCCCCCCCCTGTGCCTTCTGACTGCTGGTTTGATGCTGCCCAGGATCGCTCTGTCTGGAGGCAGATTGCTCATCGTCGTCCTCCCGCCCGTGCTCCTCCTGATCCTGACTCTGGCTTCCGCTGCGCATGTGGAAAGGTCTGCCGTCGTCCCGGGGACCTCAAGCGCCACGCTCCGTACTGCAAAGCTAGCGGATAGTCCCTTCGCTATCATTGCCATCGGCAATGGGCACGTTCAAGGTTCAAGGTAGTCACAGTGTGGCGTGCGTCATGAGCTGTGTCATGTGCAACCTTACTTTTGAAACCGCTAGTTGCCAGGTCCTTATCACCGTTTCACTAGAGTCAGAGTACCAGTACGCATTCTGTCCAGCTGCACGCAAGTGCAGACTCTTACATCTACTGACATGACACCTCACCTGGTCCAGTTCAAACCATCTCTTCTCGTATGCGTACCTGCACTGTGAACCCGAAGGTATTTCTCAACCGACTTTCTCTTGAGCCGAGTAATGGCGAGATTTTTTGTTCCAAACAGCAAACTCAATGTCAAGCCAAAATGTCCCAGCAAGTACCATCCACAGTAATTACTATCAATCTCACGCCACACTCGGACTCACCCTAGACACCACAGGTCCCTGAATGTCGATGAAAATCGAACAATTCAAATTCAAATTCATCGTCTCGATCAAACAGGTCCGGACAAGAAGTTATCCCTCATCATCCTCCATCAAGTCATCCACTGAAACAGTCTCTTTGTACCTCGGACTGTTAGTCTAAGCCAGATAGGATGAGAACAAGGCCAAACCTAGTCGAAGCCCATCGTTTTTTCCGGAGCGGAGAAACTTGCATCCGTCCACCAGACTGCAAAAAAAATATTATAATTAATTTTAAACTCGGATGTTGAGCCATAAATAAATGTAAAAGGGAAAAAGGACATATGGATACGAGTTAAGAGTAACTCTCCATCACTGTAACATGATACTATATACAGTCAGAAAGTGCAATAACTAGGCACAAAACTGACAGAGTACTGAGACATTCGACGTCCTGATACCTAACTTCAACACATCTCCGTAGCGCTAACCGACAGCCTTCCAACTTGGAAGGTTCAAGGTTATGGAAAGACCAAAGAGGGGAAGGCAAGCGCAACGAAAACGAGCAAAAGCTATATGGTTCGTGACGGCTCATCAGGTGTGCAATTTGATCGCCTACTGGTCTCGTCATCGTCCAGTGACAATCGACATTCTTTGTTCCGTTAGGACTGTAGCTTGTGCTCGTTTTCGTTGCGCCTGCCTTCCCCTCTTTGGTCTTTCCATAACCTTGAACCTTCCAAGTTGGAAGGCTGTAGGTTAGCGCTATGGAGATGTGTTGAAGCTAGGTGTCAGGACGTCGAATGTCTCAGTACTCTGTCAGGTTTGTGCCTAGTTGTTGCACTTTCTGACTGTATATAGTATCTAGTTACAGTGGTGGAGAGTTACTCTGTTACTACTGTTTCCATATGTCCTTTTCCTTTCTACTTTTATTATTGGCTCAATACCCGAGTAACAATATTAATATTAGATGTAAATGGAATGCACCACTTATCCATATACCTTGTATATCTAATATTATGAGTGCAATAAAGAGTATAATAGATGCAGACATGGCCAGACAACAACGAGTTAATGGAATTTTAAAGGATTTTTATGCTATTCAAAATCGATTTTCGTGTTCCGCTCATTAGTGAATATTATCGGAACTGAGGGTAATGTGTACAAAAGAACATTTTATAACAGCATAATTAAAAGTGTGAACAGAAAGGGAAGTGCTACAGCAATTTACATAATAGGTGTCAAACATAATGCTAAAATATATAAAACACAAAGCAGGAGGTAAGGGGCCATCCGTAAATATCGATAGTTTTTTCAATCCTTGAATTTTACAAAGTAACCAGGACCCACCACCCACCCCCCCCCCCCCTACTTTTTACGGAATAAAATATTGATGACACATGTGGCCTCTTGGATGATCTCCGACCTTGCCTGCGGGTCTGCGGAAAACGTCTCCATCCACTGCTTCTGTGCTTTGGTGAAAAACGCAGATATATTATTGGACGTTTCAACAGTCCACAAGGCCTCGATGACGGCGTAGTAGCCATCGTCGTCTTCACCAGGGCTGTCAATTGATCAAGCTCTTTGAAAAACTTATCTTTTTTGGCAGCTGTACCAAACAAAGTAGTCTGCCGTGCCATTTTCGTTAGGCCACGCTCCACATGAGAACTGTTCCAACCATTGGCGATGTAGCAATTCTTCGATGTGGAGTTCAAATAAGAGCTGGACTTGACCCGGATTAATCAGGTATTGTGATACTTCGAATAATTGTGCAATAATTATACTTGTGAATAATATCTAAAAAACTTCCCTCTTTCTTTTGCTTCAAGAGTTTCGATCTCCACTACATTTTTGGAGACAACAATCTACGTGTACGTGTGGTTCGACGCACGCAGACCCACGCACACGCAGTACTGAGCGCCAGGTCCGCGTGTCATCGATATTTTATTTACTTTGAATTTCGGCTGCACCCACCACCCAGGTACGAAAATTTCACGGATTGTAAAAACTATCGACATTATTTTACGGACGGCCCCTAATACAGTGCAACATAACACGACATTTACATCTGATAAGCAGCTACAAGAACAACTTTAATGCGACTACATGCTTCTTTTGTTTACAAAGAACAGGATTATGCACCCGAATACATACAGCTTCCAGAACCTTCACTGCTTAATATAACTTGCACGGCACAAAACAGAAAAGTGAGAATCATCGTACACACTAAGACAATCTGCACGTGATAACAAGTGACAAAATACAGCTGACTATTTGCTCAAGTCGCTCTCTTCCGTCTCATCCCGCTCCTTTCCTTCCATCTCCTCTACCTCATCCTCGTCCTCCGTCTCATCTTCATCATCATCGTCCCCACCACCATCATCATCATCAGTCACTTCCTCACCATCCGTCTTTCTCCACGCCGACTCTTTAAATATCTAATTTTTTTTTTTTAATTTTGGAAGTGAAGTGAACTTATGCAACGAAGAGACCACAGTTGGAGAGTTTGAGGTGAGGTACCCTGTATGGTGTGAGTGGCTGCAATGCAGTCTGCGAGTGCTTAGAAAAGTTTACCAAGAATCATGTCAGGACAAATTGGAGGCATATCCAATTTTGAAAGAAAAGGTGACAGCACCGACGCAATCCACACAGTCAAGTAAGCCAATTTGGTAACCGAACGTTTTCGTTCCCTTCTCATCATGGGTACATGGAATAATGGAAAAATGTCAAAATACAGCAATTTATAGAGCTACAGCAAAAGCATAGATCGAGAACCTCATGCTATTATTATTATTATTATTATTATTATTATTATTATTATTATTATTATTATACGCACGTCCGCGTTTACGTCAACAGTAAGTCCACGTATTCGCATGTGCCAGAAGACAGGCATAGTGGGCAGGGAGGAAAACAAAAATAAACAAGAGTAAAAAATAAATGTAAGACAGCAGGCGATAGGCATATAACTCATGTTCGATGATAGGTGCTCAATGCACGGGATCTATTCGAAAGATCAAAAAATAAAACAAGAAAAACAGACAACGACGATAGGTTTGTAACTCGTGGTCGATGGTAAGTGCTAAATGCACGGGGTCTGTACAATGCCTGTGTCCCATCCGTTAGTTACAGCGCACATCCTTGCACAGCTCGCGCCATGCAGGCCTGTCCGTGGCGATGGCCTGCAGGTGCTCCAGGTCTGCCAAGTTCCTCAGACTCCTCAGTCCTGCTGATTCTAGGTCCGCGGATAGTGTGGACACGATGGTTGTCCGTGGCCGCCCTTGCCATACCTTGTCCCCACAAGTAAAGTAACTCTGCATAGCGAGGGCGGCAGGCGTTTCTTGAGGGAGTCTGAGGATATGCTCAAACAGGCCCCATCTGGATCGCCGCATGAGGGCACTGATGGGCACTGCGTGGCATCTGCCGTACAGGGCTTTGTTTGGAATCACCTGCGGCCAGCGGATACCCAGGAGACTCCGAAGTTGTCTTCGATGGAATGTGTCCAGACGCTCCCATGCTGAAGCCGTCAGTCCCCAGGTGCCTCCATTGTACGTTAGCACAGGGATGATAAACACGTTGTTATGCCTTAGCCGTAGACTTTCGCTGATGATCGATCGACTACACCATACCGTGAATAGCGCTCTGAAGGCTGCCGTTGCTAATTGTTTCCTTCGTGCAAAATCGTCCTCGTCGCCGAGAAGTGATCCGAGTTTTTTTGTTTTCCGCCATACTTCAGCCAGGCGGTCTCCTTCACGGCGCAATGTTGTTTTTTCTGTTTTATCTTCGTTGATCTTTAGGTGCCAGTCTCCAAGGATAGCGATGATATCCGGTTCGATGCTCTCCAGCCAGGGTCTGGATTGGCTGATGAAATCAGTGCCATCGGCATAATTCACTTCTGGTGGTAGAGCCATGTCGCGCATTGGCCCGGGCGGAATCGATGCTCTGATCTCCCTCAAGGCTGATTCCAGGTAGATCACAAATACTACAGGAGAGACAGTCACCTTGGGGGTTCCGATGGTGGACTTGAAATCAGGTGAAACTTCCTTTCCAAGACGGACAGATATGGTTGTGTTTGACAGCAATATCCGTACCAGTCGGATGTCATCCTCCGTGACGATTGCTCTCATGGTAGAGGCGACGGTTTCAAATAGGAAATAGGTTGCAAACCGGAACGGACTCAATATTCACTTTCTCTCTTGGTATTTTGATTAGAAAACATATGTCACAGTGAGACTACGATGTGTTATACTCCGAGCCAAAATTTCATGGCTCTGCGATGACCAGAAGCGCCATATCAAGCAGGTGAGTTTTTGACGTGTTGCTTCGCACTGCGACTTGAGTTTTACGACTTTCGAAAAATCAACTTCTTGTCGCAGGTAAACAGCGGCTCGCCTCTCGACAATAAAGCACCGCATACCAATCAAAACTAATGGAAGCACACACAAGGCTTATTGTTACTCTGTACTGGCCGTCGTGGAGCGATAGCAATTACCTAATTTCAGACCCAGAGTGAATTTGACGGGCACTCTAAAACGTGTCCGGTTTGGAGCCACCTCTGATTTGAACTTTTTTGAAGCGAAAAATTGGGCAACTTGGAGGCAATGGGTCAACACAAAGGAGTGGCTCAGTTCGATTGACTCTGGCCCCAGAGCAAACTTCAACATGCCAGTTTCTATCCACAAACATATTTCGAGTGAAAAATCAACGTTGATGATCGTTTTGGGTCTATACAAATTTGGCTGTCAAAACGTTCCGGTATCGAGCCGTCTCCTCTACTAAGCAGCTTCTCCCTTGAAACGGTGTTGAAAGCCTTCGACATATCTATTCCGTGAATCTCTATTACGCTCTGGTACTTCTGGGCAATGGCAGCCATCCACCGGTGTGCCCAGACGGCATCCGCCGTCGACCTTCCAGGTCTGAATCCACTGTGTGTAGGGCTAAGGTACTCATTAACTGCCGGTTGCATACGTCTGAGGGTCAATAATGATACAGCCTTCCTGACGGAATCCAGCAGAGTGATTGGGCGCAAATTACTGGTTGGTCCCCTCCTCTTGTTGGGCTTCTGCAGTGGGATTAGGGTGCCTGCTCCTAGATCTATAGGGCTATGGAGTTTGAACATGCGGTTGAGGCAGAGAGCGATCCTGGCTGCTAGTTCGGCGCCACCATACTTCACCAACTCAGCATTTACCCCATCCGGGCCTGGTGCGCTGCCATTATTGAGGCACCCGATGCACGTTTCTAGTTCTGCTGCTGTTATTGGACGCTGCAGAGGCCTCGGCTTTCCCTCAAATGGGTCGATAGGCTTCTCACTGTTGCGATTGAATTGCGTGCTGAAGTGCGTTCTGATGATATTCAGGGATTCTTCGGCGTTTCCAACAATTCCAACAACGAGTCAAGAGCTGCGACAATGGAGGTGACAAAAAAAGACGCGACATTCCAACAGTCAGCAATCGGCTATCAAGAGTCATCTGTCCGTTAGTGATAGTTGTCGTGAGTTGTGCAGAGATGATGTTTTCTTAGTTTTGGCCCGTGGCAGATTCGTATTACATTTGACTGTTTTGGAAGCGTTATACCCTAACCCTAATCCTAACCCTAAACAATCAGTTTTTGCGATAACATTGCATGACACTGACCGAATAGTTGTTATGAACGCATATTGTTGGTCTGAAAATTTAGGGTTTTCATATTTTGGCATTAAATGCCAAATTATGAAAACCCTAAATTTCCCAGTCAATCGACATTTAGACACAATTTCAAACATTCACAATTTCAAACATTGTTTCATACTTTTTCCTTGTCCAGGAGTTTGGTTGATCTTCCCCTCCCCTATCTTCCCTCTGGAGTGCCTCGATACACACCTCAATTACAATATATGTAAGTCTTGCCTGACGAACAATAAGACTCCCATTCTTGTTCCACATATATTGGCACGCACAGAGACATGAACAGGAACAGCAACAACACACAAAGTGAAGGGTAGTTGGCCGAAGCCAGATGTGAACCGGATATTGAGTGAGGTATGGAAGCAGAGACTGAGAACGGAGTGTCTCAGATAGAATAGGTGTGACGGTGGATAGCAGAAATAGGCCATGATGCAGAACCACTTGGAACCGTCAGATTAATTTTCCTGGACCGAGCCAGCCGGGAAAAAACCCTCGCGCTGACGGGCGCAATTGTGAGCGAAAAAAACCGGGTGTATATCTCCAATGCCGATTAGGCATCATGTAGGCATGGCAAGCACATCTTGGCAAAAAGTGATAAAAAAGCAATGGAAATATGAACAGAAATAATAAAGAACACAACAGATGAGCACTTGACATTCCGTCAGCAAGTTGATGCACTCCGAAAAAAGGTCAGTGCAAAAGTGAATGCATTTCGGCACTGCCGCACCTTTTTGACCAATGCAGCCAGACACATATTTTATCTCTCTTTTGTTCAGTCTACACTGGAATATGCAAGCAATGCTTATGTACACAGTCTGCGACAACATGAATATGATTTTCTCACCCGCATATTTCGCCGTTCATTGCGTACTGTATTTGGCTATCCACCCACCCCAGGTGTCCAGTGTATTCTGTCTCGAAACAACCTCAACCATCCCTATCCGCTTCTCCCTTAACCCTTTGTGGGTCTTACTCAATGTATGTGAGGGGTGGTCACGCAAACACGCGTACAAACAACGAGCCATAACTCGAGTTCTCTGAGTTGTAGGTATGGGTAAACTATATATTTTCAAAATCTGTATGCCTGGACGAGTCTAGAAAACACAAATATGACTATGTCCAGGCAAGGGTATGACCCGTGGTAGCCCTTCAAGTTGAGAGAAAATACAATTGCGAACAAAAAAACACAAAAATCACAGCACGAAGTGCATACCAAGTTCGTGATGGAGCCGAAGTCCTATGATAAACAATCAGGTAAGCGCTACGTCTTGGTGAAGAATATATGCTCCTAATTCCGTCCTTGAACTCCAAAACCTCGCCATCGGCGATGCACCAGCAGCAACAGTTCCACAATATCACAATTTTGGTTCGTTCACCTCAGCGCCGCTCGCGTCAGATTCACTCTCGTTCAGATGAGTACTCAGGCGCGATGTCACGCGTGCCGTGATTCTCACGGCCAGGCGAATCAGCTGATCGCACCTGACAAGTCTATGTAAGAGTTGCTGTTGCTGTGCTTCCTCGCTGGTTGGTAAATTTGATTTCTTCATTCGGGGACGATTTATTTGAGCTAGGAGGACTCAACGGAGCTCTCTTTCTCACGACATTACACTGGAAATCCTCCAGGGACATCCAGCCTAGACTGGTGCCGTCAGTGTCCTCATAAAGCTTTTCTGACACGGCCTCAAGAGATGCACTCCCATTCTCGAAATGCGCGCATGGCGGATGGTCGTCTTTTCCAATTTCACCAGACTTCAGTCGATCGATACTGCAAAAATTTGTATGGTAAGTATGATTGTTTTTTACACCGTTGGAAAGCCTTGGACCTCAGCTACGAGTGGAGCACCATTTTAGTTGTCTCCAAGCAACAAAACTCAAAGAAAATGCGATTTTCCTGTAAGGGTCACATACGACCCGTACGCTTATGTGAGACCCATAAAGGGTTAAACTGTATCTTCTTGTATTCAGATGCGTTCATTCTTCTACCAGCTCACTTCTGTGTCGCCTTTTCTGCCTTCATGCCAACTCTGAGGCACGTAGCCGCACCTACACAAGGTCTCAAGTCTCGCTTGGACTTGTACTGCCACGAACCTCCTCTCGATTTGGTTACTCCTCTCTTTCTTATTTAGCCTCTGACCGCTGGAACTCAGTTCCGGCATCGGTCTGCCTTGCTACTTTACCAAGTCAATTTCGTATCGTAATCCTAGATGGGTACCCCGTAAGGAGACCATACGTCTGTGGGGACTGCCCTAGAGAAATATGAATAAATACGCATCTATTATTGCATGATTATGAGGGCAATAATAGATTTATCACGACATAGCATACCTAACCCGTTTTATCTGTGTTTACGGGAAGAAAGGAATACTATTGTTATAGTAGATTGCATGTACATATGCCGTTTACTTTGGACATTACTTCTCTATGAACAGAAGTTTTCAGTTGTCACTTGTGGTATGTTCCCCAAGTTCTTTGACTGAGAATCTGACAGTGTGGGTTCAAATCCCAACATTTGGCTTCAGATTTTTCTTCTTTCAGTTCTGATTTTTTACTAAGTTGAGGAAAATTTTTAAGTGGTCAATAATAAGTGGTCGATATAAGCGGTCAATATATATTTGACTGCTTAGGTCACACTGAGGGAAAATTTGAAAATAATCCGTGGTTACCATGGATAGTTGCCGCTGAGCGGGAGATTTGAGAGATTTAATCCACTCGATAAAAATCAGCTCGAAGCCCCGCTTTTCAGCCGAAGATTATAATCATCCGCGGCTTCCACTGGATTTCTTTGAGTTTCCTTGTTTTTTATTGCGTTATGAAGTGGAGCGATACTCTAGAGGCTGTGCTGATGCAGCTCTGGCCCAGGAGCGGGGCTGACAGGCTGCCAGAAGCGAGTGGTGACAAAAAATTGCTCGCGTGAGTGAGATTTTTTCATTGTGCGTATGCAGTGTGGCCGCGATGCAAAGCAGAACAAATTATTCCCGGTGTATAATCTGAGGATTGTTCCCTCAATGTGACCGGCCCCTTAGGGCCTGGTCAGACTGCGGCAAAATCGAAATAATCCTGGGATTATAATCCGAATCTCCAAAGTAACTTGCCGCCAGAGCGGCAAAATCGAGAGTTAACACTCCAAAAAAGAAGCTAGACCACGCTTTTCCGCTCTAAACAGGAGTTGACGGTGATACCACGGCTGTTTTTCGCGAAATTTGGACTTTTAACAAGATGGCAACCGGAAGTTTCGATTGGGCTGGATCGGCAAGAAAATTTGAATTTTCAAATTCCCAGCAGGCGATTTCGCTGTGGTTTTCGCTCGATTTAGAAAGCTTCCAGGCCAGGTTTACCCGGAAACAGGTATTCCGTGTTCCTCTTGAGACTAGCTTTCCGCTGGTACCTCACATGCCCAACTTCCTCGCAGGAACAGTTTGTTCCGCGTTGCACAAGTCAAGCCTTCTTTCTCGCTCGTTGCTTGATTCATCGTTGACATGTCTGCGTCAAGAAGCCCTTTCAGAAGTTTTCCCAGTCTAGCTTTCAGTTTTCCCAGGTAGAGGACTATCTTCTGGCTATCTTCACCAAGTTTTATCACGTCCCGTGCGCAAACTTCAGCTCCCGTGCGTGCGGTGCTGAGCTACCTTTTCATGCGATTTAGGGGACAGATGGCATGGCCCTGGAGTCGCTGTTGAGTCCAGGAGGCCAAGGCCTGGTGGAAACTGCCCAACAGACACGTGGGGTATTGCTGAGAAAGGCAGCAAGCACACAGATAGCCCCGAAATTGTGATGTAGATCCAATTGTGCGTTTGTTCGAGTGCATATCGGCAAATTTGAAAGTTGCACCCGTGATCCCGACGAGGAGAAGCTGAAAATCAGTGCGTGCGTCAATATCCAGACTACCAGGGATATCTTGGAGAGGTTCGAAAAGGTCAGGATGCCGGTTGACCATGGCAGGAGTTCCTTTACCTTCCTTCTCCCTGAGATTGTCTGGATATTGAGTATTTTGTTCGAGCGCTTTCAAATAATAAATCCTGGTTTGACTTGCGAAATCGTGGAACCACACGGAGAGCAAACTCCCCTTGTATTCAGGAGGTTTATACCGTGTTACGTAAATCGCACTAAACGACGCCATATTGTTAAATGTCCGTGCGCGAACAGCCGTGATATGCCATTGACGCTGACATTCACTGATTCTTTCATCTCGATATTGAGGAGCTAATTGGCCACGGACAACGACAAAACTCATAAGGATGGTTGCAAGGATTGCACTGAAGGTGTTGGCGATCCCCAAGGTGAAGGAATTTGACGTCGTTCGTGGAGATTACCACTTGACGATCGAAATGAATTTTGAATTTTCATTCTCCCCACATGTGGAGTGTGATCGCGATTCAAATTCTGGACGCTTTTCTTTTTTCGTCAGGCACTGGAAAGTTGCCGCAGTCTGACCAGGCCCTAAGGGATCACAAGTTTCTGTGGGGGTCAATAATAAGAGAGTGATAATATACACACGATCACAAGTTTCTGTGGGGGTCAATAATAAGAGAGTGATAATATACTTTATCACTCTCTTATTATTGACCCCCACAGAAACTTGTGATCTCTAAGCGGTCAAATATCAGCATAATATATTGACCACTTAGCCCGAGGACTTAGAACTTTTTCCTCCACTTAGAAAATAATCAGAACTGAAAGAAGAAAAATCTGAAGCCAAATGTTTGGATTCGAACCCAAACTGTCAGATTCTCAGTCAAAGACCTTGGGGAACATACTACAAGTGACAACTGAAAACGTCTGTTTATAGAGAAGTAATGTCCAATGTAAACGGCATATGTACATACCATGTACTATTACAATAGTATTCCTTTCTTCCTATAAAAACAGCTAAAAAAGTTTAGGTATGCTATGTCGTGATAAGTCTATTATTGCCTTCATAATCGGTCAATTTATGAAATATAATGACCTCCTTAATCGTGGAATAATACTTCCTCCGTTAACAAAAACTTCGTGATGGATTTTAAATTTTTGATGGATATGAAAACGCTTAGCACAGGTCAAGAACAGTTTGTATCGACTGCAAATCACTGGACGAAGGTCAATCAGCCTATGTACAGCGTCCTTACAAGAGAAACTGTTGGCAGAAAGAGCAGAGAGTTCAGTTTGCGTCGCTTTCGCTCGACTCATTTATGAGCTGCGTCGCTGTCGTCATCTGCTGCACACGAGTCGCCGTCT